GGTAACCAATTCAAGCAACTGAAATGATCTCGTGGGATGACGTATATGCACATCCTATATATTTCTTACTAATTAGGAATTTTTTGATCGAGTGATGAACCTATACTTTAGTTCTATGTACTTCTAATATGATCTTTAGGAATTTGCATATCTTGAACTTAACATTTTAGCTTCTCTAATCAAATGTAAGATTCTTACTTCTGTATCACATTCAAACTATCAAACCCAGTATTCTTTTTAATTAAATAAATTTATTTTATCTTTTTACCTTTTATATATATATATATATATATATTTATTGATAGCCATATCTTATTTTAAATTTTTTTAAAAAAATTCTATTTAATAATAAAAAAAACACCGAACTAGTTCACCAAAAAAAAAAAAAAAACAAGAACTCGGTTCTTACGTGCGGTGAAGGTTTTCTCCTCAAAAGTGTTATTTTATGGCTTCAACTATCCCCTCCAACACGCAAACCAAGAAGAGAGCGTTACGTACCGCATAACAAAAGTCCAACGTGATTTTAGTGAGCAAACAGAATGGCATTGAATCTGTTTATCATGGCGTCACGAGCACCTAGATGGGAACTTTCTCCTAATTAGAAATTTTGAAAATCTCAACCTTTTTTTTCCAGCTAAATTTTATTTTATTTATTTGTAATTTAAAAGTTTATTTTAAACTTCTAAACAGTTAAAAATATCTGCCTACTACACTAAAAAAACTTCTGGTTTTTGGAAAGCTAATTACAAAAAATATATTAAAATAACTTAATACTACCGTAGGATTGTCTTGTACATAGGACATCTATGTGTACAAGATGTTATTCTAACATTATTTATAAAAAAAAATACAATTGCTATTACACGGTTAGTGTTTGTTAAAGGACTAATCTACGCGCCATTTTATATAAAATTGTTCTTGTAACACAAAATAACAAATAGTTGTGAGAGTTCATTAATTGTCTTAGTATTTAATTGAGTATATCTTTTTTTCAAAAAGGAAAAAAAGAATTCAACACTTTTGAAAATTGTTTTTCCCGCCATATTAAAAAGTTTTTCCCTTTTGAGAAGGAAAATGTATCTAATTAGATACATCTGATGCACCAAATTGGATAGCACCAAAAATTTGTTCCAATATGACCACTAATTTATCATTAATGTACCAATTTCACGTAAAACACAAAGGAAAGTCCAATGCAATCTTCCAGGAGTGAGCAAACAGAAAACCTGAAAGGCATTATATTTGCTTATCATGGCGTCGCAAGCACGTAGATGGTAGCCTCTCCAACTTAGAGATTTCGAAAATCTCAACTTTTTTGTTCTAATTGATGGATAACAACGAAGATAGGGTCTATGGTTGTATAGTTAGGGACGTAAATTCTTTAGATAAGCTTCGCCACTGGAGGGGCGAGTTAACCCCGACTTTTAGCAGGCATGAAATTTTGCTTGCTTAGACTTTCACTATTATTAATATATTATTTGGTTTTTATCAGTTGAGAGATTCGTGAGTGTATTTGTTTCTAACTCTTCCTTGTATTGTCTTGCGAGTTGCGACAATTGCTCTATCTTAAATAGCTTGTGTTGTGTTATGTTGCTGCAATTGCTGTAATGAAGTTTGAATTGATGGCTTTGAACCGATGATAATAAATATGAAATGGATGGCATTTTAATAATAATTTAGCATAGGATACAGTAATAATTTTTTTTTATCTAATCCAATTTAATTTGGTTCAAGCCAACTTATGTTGCGGTTGGCTTTCTTTATATTATTTTTTCGATTCTTAAACCTCGAATTTTGTTGGAAATCGAAAATTGCGCAATACATAAATCGAAAATGAAAAGAGAAATGAAAGAAAAAATGAACACAGTGACTTATTCTGATTCACCCAATGTAAGCTACATCCAGCTTGTTTATACTATATTAACCTCACCGTCACTTGTTACAAGTGATTTTACAAGGAAATATATATAGGATTTGGAAAATCCTAACAAGAGTTATTCATGGGCACAAACCTAAACTACTAAGAAGAAGTTAATTTTCTGCTGATCCTGCCAACAAAAGTCTTCATCTAATGCGAAGTATGAGTCATACCCAACATTTCATAGGAACCCTAATCACAAGGAGACACTCTGTCAAGCGGGTCAATGAAGAGTCCGTGGCAGGGGACCATCACTAATGGTTTAAGTTAGACCAACCATAACAAGTGGGTCCGACAACATATCTCAATCCAAAATCTTAAAGTACTGTGTTCATGGATCCTTGCACTTACTTGCAGTTCACTTAATCAATTATCAACTGATGTGAGACTCATCACACTTGAATATTTCAATAAATTTGAGATCTCTAATTAAGAAAAAATAAGCTTTTTATGTATCATGTGAGTAGCTCATATGATGCTAATAACCTTCCACTTAAGTTAATTATGTAATTGTCACAAAATATTTTTTTTAATTGCTTAGTGACATGTTGAGATGTACAAGAAAGTTCCAAAATGGTAATTAATTATTTTTTATATTTTTTTTCATAACTAGTTTTTTATTTGAAAAAAAAAAAAACTAAAATGGTTTTTTTAACCAAATGGCTACCAACAGGTGCGACAATAAAATTTTTACTCCATCATCGTTAAGACTGTGACCGTGAGCCAGAGCCATTTGGTCCATCGGATCGAGATATGGCTAAGCAATAAAGCCATAGACATGTCTCTTGTAAATTATTTGTCCAAGTCGTCACTTTAATTACTTAGTTATCTTATCTTAACGCTTAAAAAAGAAAATTGGTGTAAATCTCAATGCACCGGCCGGGTATATATGCTTGAATTTTCGAATCAGATACAAAACATTATGACAGTGATTCAATTACCCTTGATTGTTACTTCCAATTTTAACTTTTGCCTCTCATAAGACTAAACGTAGATATCTAACTACGCGATTTTTCTTTACTGTTTTTGTTCTCATAGTTGTTCCCGCTCACCGGGTGCATTTTGACCTGACTTGAATTTGTGGACGAGAAATGAACGGCACGCACTCTACCAAATTCACTAGATGCTAATTAAAAATAAAAATAAAAACAAAAATAAGAATAAAAAAATATACAGGATTCTTATCCGTGTATGTACTTATTCAAACGCTCAGAGATGTGACATATTTGCTATTCTGAACAAAGGGAAGTCATTTTCTAAATGCTTTGAATGCTCTTTTAACTTTTAGTGTAGACAAGTAACATTACTGACATTCTGACAATGCTGAACTTAAATCTTTCTTACCAGACAACTTCACGATGAGTGTGAAGTTTAATGATCCACTTTTATATATCAGGCTGTGAACGAGGTTTGTGACCCTTGTTAAAACTAATGGTCAATTATATTGAGGAAACATACAATATTTCTGAGAAATGTACGTTTCCTTACCTCCAATAATTTGATGTTGAGACAGGACAAAACAATATATTCTATCTTTTGGTATTTTAAGTTCTGTTTCATAAGTAGACAAAAGTAGCATACTCACTTTTTCTTTTATTTTCTTTTGTAGAATAATTCTTTAAAGGAAATTTGTAATTAATAACGTTTACACAAAAAAAAGGTGTGAAAAAATGATATGCAATTTTAATATTTTATATAATTTTCTTCTTTGTGAATTAAAGTAAAGTATTACCCGAGCCAATGTATTGTAACTTGCTTTCGTCAATTTGAGCCCCGCGCATGTTTATAAAGGTATAAAGTGTTTTGCCTCCTTTATTCTCGTCTTATTTTAAATAAAATAAGTATAAACCTAAAACTAAACTATGTGGCTCAGTAAGTGAAGAGACGCAGAAAGTGATAAACAACAAGTGCCGCTAAAGAATGGGTAAAAGTTGCGCCTTACGAAAAAAGGAAGCAAAAAACAGATCCATTTTTACCTTTCTGTTTCATTACGTGTTCTCTGATTGGAGGATGGTGTCACGCATAATATAAATAAATAAATTAATAAAAATGCCCTTCCAAACAATAAACAGAATCATGAATCTGCCAGCCAAATAGGTCCAAAAGAAGATACCAACTTGGTTATTTGACTTGCTGACTTGTTTTGATGATTATCTTATCAACTTGAGAACTTTTTTTTTTTTTTTCAGTTAACTCAATCCTAAACTAGAATCTTTTATTTAGGAGAACATTTTTTGTATTATTATTATATTAAGTATTGGGTCCGACGATACTTCAAAATAAAATTATATATTACGAAAAATATATAGTTATAATATTAATTATTTTTTTCTCTTTTTTCAAGAAATATATCAACTAATATGTTATACTTCTATTGATCGGTGGTACATAGGATATGAAGGTAGTATATTAGAATTTTTCTTTGTATACCTATGGTGAGTCTAGTCTAGTTTAGGCTACATTGCCAATGTAAAGCCAAACAATGAAATCACTTCCTTAGTCGAAACCTTCTCCAGTCTCCACTAGATGCTACTTTCTGGCTGTGTCTCTCTGTTTTCGGGCTACCTATTTATCTGCATACTGCGTTCCATTCATTCATGCATTTGACGCATATTCTATATATACAATTCGGATCTTGAGGTAGGAATATATCTTTTTGTTAAAGGAAACCCAGGATTCACGTGCCTCATTTTTCCCATTAATAGAATATATTCATTAAAGATACCGTATAGTAATTAATTCTATTCATTCTGCTTTATTTTATTTTATTTTTAGTTTGCCTTTTATAGAGGAGGAGCGGATTGGGTTTAAATATATTTGCCTGATATACATAAAGTTCTACATTTGATCCCTATATTTTAATATATTAAAATTCCAATAGTTTGTGATAAGATTAAAAGAAGACAAGACAAAGTTCAAAAACATTGTATGGCAGGGATTAAAAAAAAGAAAAAAAGAGAGAGTGTGATATATAGAAGCAAGAATATTTTTATATATTTTAACGTGTATATAAGTATTAAGGATTTGTGAGGCAATGGATAAAGGGTGGGTTTCTTGTGAGGGACTTGGAGTTCTTGGGATAATGGGAAGGTTTTGGTTGATTGGAGTGTTGATTGTGGTGGGTTGTGGCTGCTTTTTGAGCAGTGTTAGGGTAGAAGGGTACCCAGATGAGGATCTTGTGGTGAGTTTGCCTGGCCAACCCAAGGTTGGGTTCAAGCAATATGCTGGTTATGTTGACATAGATGTCAAGCATGGAAGGAGCCTGTTCTACTATTTTGTTGAGGCTGATAATGACCATGACAAGAAGCCCCTCACCCTTTGGCTCAATGGAGGTTGGTACCCTTGCTCCTGTTCAATTTGTTGTGTTTATCATGTTTTCTTAAATGTCATTGCTTCATCATCATCATCCTTTTCTAGCTTGTCATGAGAGTTTTAGTTTTAGTGAATCCTGATTATGGTCTCTACTCTCTAGCTTTTGCTGATTTTTTATTTTTTATTTTATTCTTTTTAGGCTATATTTTGCCTTCTACCAATTCAGCTTGTGTTGGTCTTACTAGTAGAAAATCCTGTTTGCTTGCACCCCTCATTGACACATCATGTGGATCAAAAAGTTGAAATGACTCTGGTTTTTCTTTAGTACATCTGTCCACAGTTGACAGAAGCTTATATATATGAAAGATACAACTCTTGTTTGGTTTTGTTTTTATGAAGAACTCCTTTAATTCAGAGCAAGTACCTTTCATTTTCAGGTCCTGGATGTTCCTCCATTGGAGGAGGTGCCTTTACTGAATTGGGTCCCTTTTATCCTAAAGGTGATGGACGTGGTCTGCGTAGAAATTCAAAGTCTTGGAATAGAGGTATATCATATATATATGACGCAAGTTTTTGACATGAGTTTGCCTTTTGATATGTAGGAGAATAAGTTAGGTGTAAATTGATTTCTGATGCTGATATTGTGTCTTTCATATATAGCATCAAATATCCTATTCGTGGAATCTCCTGCTGGAGTTGGTTGGTCTTACTCAAATACAACTTCAGATTATAACACTGGAGACACGTCCACAGGTATGAAGAGTGACCTATATATACGTATTCACTTAGGGGACGTTTAGTACAGGAAAAATTTTTATTTGTCCGGGAATCTCGATTTTCAAAAATATGATTTTTGCATTCAGTTTACGATAATATCTGAAAATTTAAAATTTAGAAAAATTCAGTTTCCCGGGAATCTCTCAAAATCCCGCATACCAAACGCCCCCTTAGTGAAATGTTTTTCTCATTTATCTCATGCAACACACAAAAAAATAATTGAAATCCATTGAAAAGAAGAGAGAGAGAAAGGAAAAAAAAAGGGTCTGTTCACTTTTTTGTGTGTTGTATATGAGATAATTTGTCTCATGCAATATGAGAAAAACATATCTCGTTCACTTAATTGTCATGTTCTCTATTTAAACTTATCTTCTTCTCTTTTGACACATCAAACAGTATTGATTCAAGGCTAGGAACCAATTTATGTAATATGCAAAATATCAGATTTTAGGTGTATTATCCAATTTGTTTTGCTAGGCATGAACGTTATCCATTTTGTTTTTGGCAGCCAATGATATGCTTTTGTTCATGCTGAAATGGTACGAGAAGTTTCCTTCCTACAGATCAAGGGAGTTGTTCCTTACTGGGGAAAGCTATGCAGGTCCAACAAATAATAATCAAATTCCAATTCTAATAACTTATTAATTAATTGAAATTCCCAAAAGTTCGTCTCGTGTTTCAAAATATTCTACTTATTAGCTGACGTGACTTAGTTAAGATTAAACTTTATATTCTATTATTTATGCACATGCAGATAACCTATGTCATCATTCCTAGTTGGGACATGCTCTAAAATTATTACCCCAGTTTGCATTTTATTTTATTTTTTAAACAAAGTTTGTTTCTTCCTTTCCATTTTTCGTTTGTTTTGTTTCCTATTGACCCTGTTCTCGTTATATGTTATTTTTTTTGTTTCTTATTAACATTTTATAATGTTATACAGGACATTATATACCACAGTTAGCTATTGCTCTTTTGGACCATAATGCTCATTCAACTGGTTTCAAATTCAATATTAAAGGCGTTGCTGTAAGATCCCACTCATGTTATGTTATATCTTTTGGCGTTCATTTACTCATAAGTTTATACTTATGTTACTTTTGGGCTAGTCTCTGTTATCTTATAAACTGATGTTTTAATTTGAAAGTTATCTTAGTTTTCTCTTTGCTTTCCCTTGTTAGATTGGAAACCCACTTCTGAAATTTGATCGTGATGCACAAGCAACATATGAATACTTCTGGTCACATGGAATGATTTCCGATGAACTTGGCCTTGCCATTATGAATGATTGCGATTTTGATGACTATGTGGCTTCAAGTCCACATAATGTATCTAAATCATGCAACGATGCCATATCTGAAGCAAATGAAATTGTTGGCAATTATATTGACAACTATGATGTGATTCTGGATGTTTGTTATCCGTCCATTGTTGAACAAGAACTGAGATTGAAAAAGATGGTACTTTAATTTGCCTCTTTCATTTCTCTTCTGGTGATATTTTTAAATTTTATTAATGAGTGTATAAACTAATTGCCTTTTCTTAATTTAATGCAGGCTACTAAAATAAGTTTAGGTGTGGATGTGTGTATGAGTTATGAAAGAAGTTTCTACTTCAATCTCCCTGAAGTTCAAAAGGCTCTGCATGCAAACCGTACCAATCTTCCCTATAGTTGGTCCATGTGCAGTGCGTAAGTAGGATCGTGATTGCATGCACTTCATAATGTTTGTTTTATTAAAAAGAAAACACAATTCAAAATTTTGATAACACAATGGTTTCTACATTTTTGTTACTGATGTCCTATCTCCACATTTTCTTCATTGCAGTGTTTTAAATTATCGTGAAGCTGATGCCAACATCAATATCCTTCCAGTTCTCAAAAGGATAATTCAACACCATATTCCAGTATGGGTTTTCAGGTAATTTCAACAAAGGATACCCATCATCATTGCCTATATATATTATTTTATGGGTTTCATTTTTCCGTAGTTATGACAGAAATATTTATATGCTACAAACATATATTCACCAGGATCCAACGTCGGATGAATATGTGTCTATGAGATATAAAGTATTTATACTTTTGCCTCTATTTTATTTTCTCTGTACTCTAATTATTTATGTTAAATGATCACAGTGGAGACCAAGATTCTGTGGTGCCATTGTTGGGTTCTCGAACACTCATTCGTGAACTAGCACATGACCTGAAGTTCAAGATTACAGTCCCATATGGAGCTTGGTTCCACAAAGGCCAGGTAATTTAACCATTTCTGCATATTGAAAAGTATTTCATTTTTTTTTTTAAATTATGGTTTTGGTTTGGTGAGTTGATGACATATATGTATATAAAAATAAGGAAATAATTTTCTTATTTTACATGAGAAAATTTTCCCATGCTACACTCATAATACATGAGTGGGTCCTATCTTGATTTTTTTGTCTTCTTACCTTTTTGTGGACCCCACTCATGTATTGTGAGTGTAGCATGAGAAAATTTTCTCACGTGAAATGAGAAAATTAATTTCCATAAAAATATGAATAGGTTGGAGGATGGGTAACTGAGTATGGAAATTTGTTGACTTTCGCCACTGTAAGAGGAGCTGCTCACATGGTACCTTATGCACAACCTTCAAGAGCACTTCATCTATTTAGTTCATTTGTGCGTGGAAGGAGATTGCCAAACACAACACGCCCTTCAATTGATGAATAAGAAGTTGGATCTGCCAACTATATATAACAAATGGAAATAGCAGCTTTTATAGTTCAGTTGATTCTTAGATGTGAAGACTTTAGCCCTATTAAAAGAGGAAGCATTGTCTCTTTATAGGCCATTAGCAATTGCATGGAAAAGAAAAGGGAAGTAAGAAAAAAAGAAAAAGATTCCATTCTTTTGTATTTCTGAGTCTATTGATGCACTGCATACATTGCACGTTCTTCATTCTTTATTTGGAAGCACATACTTCTTCTACATGCTTTATTCCTAAATGTCTAGCGTACGTTTCTAGTATCCAACTGCTTAGCAATTTAATTCTTGACAAATTTAAGGATTGTATGATGCTAAATATTACAAGCTGAATTTTAAAATTGATTGTCAGTCCCTTTTTTGGGGAAAAATCGTGAACCCCGTCTTTGAATTTGGTTTATGGGCTCGCTTTTTGTCATGTCACATGACAAGATTATTTTCCTGCACACACAAATTAAGTGTGGGTTTCACGTTTAAAAAAAAAAGTCAAACCAAAATCAGGATACGGCGCCGTATCCTCAAGATACGTTGCCGGATCCTTGTTGCAGGGATAAACAGTGTCATTCCTGCAACATGATTGTTATATTTCCCTTCGTTTATTTCATCACTCTTATAACTTACGGAAAAAAGTGTGCAAAAAAATAAAATAAAATAACTTACGGAAAGAATAAAATAAAAGTCAATTTTGGTAATCTAAAATTTATATGTTACCTATGTATAAAAGACTGGTATGATATTATATATACTTTTAAAAGATCAAAATTTAACATTTACTCAAACAAATTGTTCATATAATTCTTGTGAATATCTTTTCGTGGAAAATACCACTACTCTTAGACTATTATACCAGATAGGTCATATGTAACATCCCGTGTGCACCCGGTATATTAAACATACATATGATAATAGCGCAACTAAATAAATGCGGAAGCTAACATTTTTCTTTCCAATTATGAATTAATCATTATAATCAAGCGGATTTACTTATTTCTTTTCAAATATCGCTTGTATGTAAAATGTAATAAATAACTAACTGAATAACCTCATGGTATAAATAGGTCTCTAGTCACGGAACTATCACATGTAGACCGGACCGTATCCTGATACATTATACAACTCAAGACTAAAGAACCTAACTGTTATCACTGTGGCATGGACAACCTCCATGCTCACCAGATAAGGCAACATAGCCCAACAATGTCTCAAATCAAATAACAATACACTGACAATAAAACATGAAATAAAATCCAAGCATATCATAAAAGCAGTATGCATAATCAGCTCCACTCTAGCCTCCTACCACCAGAGGTCTCAACCCTCGAGGTACCTGTACATGAAAATGTGCCCCAACACGGGGTGAGATCTCTAAAAAGAAATCTCAGAAAGATAAGGGGTCCTAGAGGATCACTCCACCCTAAGCTCACTTACATGTGCAATATCAGTTCTAAAACAGAATAATAGTATAATTTCATAATCTGTGCAATGCAGCATATATCCATGTCATGTATGTAAGCATCCTACTAGCCAGAGAATATAAAGTAGGAATTACATACGTCTACAACCTACAGTACAATTCTCCTCGCTTGTACTTTACCCACGGAGCTACCATCTTGTATGTCTCCACATACTCAGGGATTACCATCTAGGTGGAATACCTCACATACATATCATATGGCATTTAAACTCATAAAACAGCTCAACAGTATATAAATAATCTTCACACATTTTCACAAATCACATCATGCATATAAACCATCCCTCAATGAGGTATGGTGGAACCAACAATGGGAAAAATCAGGGACACGAAAGCTTACCTGTAGTGTCAAAATCCCAATTCAAAGGCTCGGTATACGCAGACACCCCAACGGTCACACAACCCGACAATTGCAATCTGTTTTATGTGAACGCACAATTTAATATTCAGAAATCTCAATTTCATAACCATTACGCAACGTTTTCTCTTTCGTTTACATCCTTTCTAATTCATAATTATCAAGTATTAAGCCTCACTATTAAAGGTATCAATGTTTTCCCACAGTAACACTGACTTCCTAAGGCATCATGCCCACATGGCAACTTTCTCACGCATTAGGACTGGTTTCTGATCATTCTAACAGGGGGTAATCGATTATCATATAGTGGATAATCGATTACTCCACATGGTAACCGATTACCAAAAATAGAGTAATCGATTACCCAACATGGTAACCGATTACCATACGAAAGGTAATCGATTACCACGCGGACAGAATAGAATTCTGCACAATCCGCGACTCCAATGGTCCAAGATCCCATTTTTTAGCAAAACAGAAGTTCCCTATCACTTATCAGGCATAGATTAACAACCCTTAACTTGAATAATCAAAGTTCCCTATTTTTATGACTCAAACAAGCTAAAATCATGAAATTTCAAGGGAAATGGTCAATGGTTACCTATGAACCTTTGAACTCAGAAAATGAGGGGACTTTGAGGACCAATGAAGTGCTACAAGCCACTAACTTAGTATTGCACGAAAATTCCCACACCAAGGTAGGTTCTTTCCTTCCAAAGCTTGGTTCTTGAAGCTTCAATGGAGGTGGAACACACTCACACTTCCACAACCATGGAGGCAGCCCTCCATGACTCCAAAATAGAAACCCCAACCTTACAAGGTCATTCTTCCCACACCCCCAATGCTTGCTACAGGTCTACATAATGATGAAGGAGGGTTTTCAAGAAGAAAATGTAAAGTCTTGGGCGTGAAAATGAAGAAAAGCTCCAACTTTCCTATGAAGAAGAAGGTGGCAGCCAAGACACCAGAAATTCACGTGGAAGAATGAAAAATTGACCTAGAAAAGTGTGTCATTTAATATTTATAGTCTCCTTAAGTTTAATTCGAGGGTATTAGCACTAATAGCTCCGCTAGTCATTTTAATCTCAAACTTCATATTCTGAACCTAGCCATTTTTCTAGGATTTTTCATATTTTTATTATAATTTTTCGCAATACTTTGCCGGTATGCGTTTTACACGTAGGCGGTATTGGTTCTGACATCAATACACATAATTATGACTCCAAAATTGGTTTAATCAACTTAGGTATTTTTCTAGGAATATTCATGTACTTATTATATTTTTCGGGATACTTCATCGGTACGCATTTATACCGTGAAGCAGAACTGGTATCTGCACTTTTCGTCAAAAAAGCGACTTTCGGCGTTATTAAGCCCTTATAATAATTATTTAACTCTTCCCATATTTATTCGACATCAATTATGGAATTATTTATTAAACTTCCTAATTTAACGGTGCGAGTTCTTACATTCACCCCACCTTTTAAGAATTTTGTCCGCGAAATTAGAGAGATACATGTCCCTAAACTTGGGGTATTGTCGGAGAAGCTCGTCCTTCCGCTCCCAAGTACACTCCTCTAGAGTTCTTCCTTTCCGTTGCACTTTGACCATGGGAATGACCTTGTTTCTTAGTTTCTTCTCACCACGATCAAGTATCTTGAGTGGTCCTACGGGAGTCTTTAGGTTCTCCCGAATTTTCACATCATCAGGTTGCCCAATGTGCGAAGGATCCGCTATATATCTCTGAAGCCGTGACACGTGAAACACGTCATGGATGTTGGCTAAGTTCGGAGGAAAGGCAAGCCGGTAGGCAACAGGCCCTACCCTACCAAGTATCTGGTATGACCCAATGAATCTCGGGCTAAGCTTCCTCACTCCAAGGGCCCGACCAACACCAGTGACAAGTAAAAGTCTCACGAACACGTGCTCACCCTCATTGAACTCCAGTGGCCGATGCTTGTTATCATAATAACTCTTTTGGCGATTCTGCGCTTGCTTCAGCTTCTCTCTGATCATCTGGATTTGCTGGGTAGTCTCTTAGACAAAATCCAAGCCAAACAACTCTCGATCCCCAACCTCAGACCAACAGGTAGGAGTTCGACACCTCCTATCATACAATGGCTAGTAGGATGCCATGCCCAGGCTAGCATGAAAACTGTTGTTATACGAAAACTCGACCAACGGTAGGTACCGATCCCATGCTGAGCCCTGCTCTAAGGTGCAAGTTCTCAACATGTCCTCCAGTCTGTCCATCAGTTTGAGGGTGATAGGTTGTACTCAATCTCAACTGAGTACCAAAAGCTCCCTGCAGCGCCTCCCAGAACCGAGATGTGAACTTCGGGTCTCTATCACTAATGATACTCTCGAGCACCCCGTGAAGCCTCACAATCTCGCGAACATATAGTTTAGCCAACTGCTCTGTAGTGAAGCTCACCTTCACTGGAAGGAAATGGGCAGACGTAGTCAATCTGTCCACAATGACCCAAATAGAGTCACAACCAGCCTGAGTCTTAGGCAATCCCACCACAAAGTCCATGGAAATGTTCTCCCACTTCCACTGTGGAATCTCAAGAGGTTGAGGCTTACCAGACGATTTCTGGTGGTCAATCTTCACTTTCTGACATATCAAATATTTATACACATACACCGCTATATCCTTCTTCATGCCCAGCCCCTAGAAGTTTCTCTTCAAGTCCTGATACATCTTTGTAGCCCCAGGGTGGATAGTGAATTGGCCTTTATGAGCCTCTGACACCACCTCCTCAGTCAATGGACCTCTAGGTATTACAATCCTCTTCTGGAATATTAACAATCCGTCTTCATTCAAAGACACACCATCTTGGTTCTTTACATAGCCAAAACACTCTTTTTGCACTTGCGCCTCTTTGATATTCTCCATCAGCTCATTTTCAACTCTCACAGTTTCCATCTCAAGAAGTGCACCCCCAAACAACGAGGTCACCGTCAAGTCTCGGAACTTCTCAATTACATCAAAGTCACCCATCATCAAACTGGATAAACTTACGGATTTCTGTCTCAAAGCATCAGCTACCACATTGGCCTTGCCAGGATGGTACTTCAACTTAAAGTCGTAGTCCTTTAGAAATTCCATCCATCTTCTTTGTTTCATGTTCAGCTCTTTCT